TTCCCTTGAATTGTGAGCCGCCCTGAGTCCCCCCAGGGAAAAGGGCGGCATACAAATAAAGTAAAATCTAAAAATAAAAATCTAATCTGAAGCCTGTAGAATCCAACAGGATTCGTAGAGGCTGCAATTCCTTAGAAAACCTGAAAGGGAAAAAGCAAAAAACCTAAGTCTTCCTAGGTGAGGGAGAGTCAGGAAAACACTCCTTCTGGGCTGGAGTCTGAGGTTAATCTGGGGGAGCAGAAGGAGGATCGGAGGTGTGGCCTCAAAAGATTACCTCAGACTCCAGGGCAAAAGGGCTGGGTTAATACCCATGTGTTACTCCTCCCACACCTCACTCTGGAAACTCACCATTTTCTGGTTTCCAGTTGATCAAATTTCTGCTGGATGTTCAAAGTCATTGAAGCAGCTTTCAGTTAAATCAGAGTGACTCAACCTGACACCATCCAGATGGGCAGGACTCCCGCTCCCATTATTCCTCAAAAGCCAATTAGAATGACGGGGAGGGCGCTACCAGCCCAACAGTGTTGTTTCCGCAAAGAAGACTCCACTTGTCTCTTCTCCTGGGTCAGCCTGTCAGTTCAGAAAATTTTTGGAACTACCCAGTGATGTTTTTCATGCTGTTTTTTTTTAATTTGTGCTGGTTTAAGGCCCTGATAAAGATGATTGGAGCCAAGCCCTACATAGATTGCCCAGAAGCTGCAGATCTGTCGTCTTCATTCTCTTTTAGGGGGACTCCAATGAACCTGAATCTAAAAACGGGTCGAGGCTACGGAGCACCAGCCTCAGGTATGAATGGAGCTTTATTTTCTGTTATCTTTTTTTCTTTGGGCAAACAAATGTTTTATTCTGAATTAATATTCAATACAATCAAAATGGCATGTAAGCCTATCTCAGACCATATCAGGCTTTGTAACATATGCTATTAATTAATTAGGCCTATTTAATTAGCATGCTGACTCTCTTCTTTCCTTCCCTCCTTCCTTCATGTCCTTTTCCTTCCTTCCTGCCTTCCTGCCTGCCTTCCTTCCTTCCTTCCTTCCTTGCCTCTGCTTGCCATTGTTTTCTCCATGGAGCAAAACAATGTATTGTGTTGAGAAAGACCCACTCAAAGAAAGCTGTTTTATTTGCAAATGGGCAGAACTCAGGAGCTGAAACTAAATTTATCCAGGAAGAGATTTATCTTTTTTGGAGTTGCCGTTTCCTCACCCTGGGAACAGCTCCGCCGTCTGCCTTCAGCACTAACCACCTGCTTTCCTTTCTTCAAAGCCAAGTCGCAGCCTAAAGGTATTGATTTAGAGGCTTCGGGGAATGTTAACGGCTTGCCAGTAATCGAGGTGGATTTAGAATCGTTTGAAGACAAACCATGGAGGAAACCAGGTGGGGCCTCAAAGTTTCTTGTGGTAAATATGTTCAACGGCTTTCTCTCCCCCCCCCCCCCGCAATTTGGTTTGGTTTGACCCGGCATCACCAGTCCTTGATGCAGAGAGGTGGGGCAGGTGGATACAGCCTGCAGTTTATGGGCCTGCTCTCCATAATGTGGTGCGATGAAATCTAAGAGCAGCACTATCGTTTTGGAAATGGGGAGATCTTTTTCTGTCGGTTCACTTGGGGTTGGATAAATGGAGTCCTTGCGGATTTTACTCCGCTAGTCATTGCTGGCTCTAGGGGGCGCTGCTCATCTCCGTTTCAAGGCCATTGAGCCAGTGCTGTCCGAAAACATTTCTGTGGTCATGTGGCCGGCATGATTCACAGAGCCCTGTTACCTTCCCACTGAAGTGGTACCTATTTATCTACTTGCATTTGTATGCTAGATTGGCAGGGCAGGAGCTGGAGCAAGGACGGGAGCTCACCCTGTCATGTGGTGCTCGGGTCTCGAACCTGGGCTGCTGCCTTTCCAGCCAACAAACCCAGCGTCTTAACCACTGAGCGATCCCGCTGCTCCTTGGGGTTGGAGAGCTCAGCTCAATCAGGGATGGGCTTTTTAATCATTGTAGAAACTGAAATGAGGATAACCTTGAGGAAGAGGAGGAAGAGGAGGAAGAGCCTCAGAGAAGAGAAATCTGAGTCCAAACCAAAAGTGGAATTGGAGAGAGTCTTAGACTGGGACACCACCATCACCCCTGCCCTGTTTTTCTCTTGAATATGAATGCATGGGGGGGGGAGGCACATTTAAAGTTGCAAGATTGATGTACTTTTGAGGTAGACCCGTCAGGCTTCAAAGCAAGAATGACACATAGTAATTCTTCCAAGCTGTGTTCTTTATTATTTTCACACCTATAGACTAAATCTTGGCAGGCTCAGCCTAGAGACCATGCATGAAAGAAAGATGGTGAAGGCAGCCCCTCCCTAATAGCTCACAGAGTATATTGTAGATGCGGATTAAAGTAGATGCATGAGCTCTAGCCTGAGTTGCCTCTTCCACTTCTGGAATAAATTCCCTTCCTCCTAGGGATCCCCTTCCTCACTACATTTCATCACCCCATTTGTGGACTCCCAAAATCCTTCAGGCATCATGTGTGGACTTCAGCTCCTAGAATTCCACAGTCCGCCTGTGTCAGGCTCAACACCACCTTTCCAGGCTGAGAGATTTATTGTTTTCATACCTACAGACCAAATTCTTGGCAGACTGAGGACTCTACTTTCTGCATCTACAATATATTCTGGGAACTGTTAGGGAGAGGCTGCCTTCACCCTCTTTCTCTGACACATGTTCTCTGCACTGAGTTTGCCTCTTCCTCTCTGGAATCAATCCCCTCCCTCCTGGGAATCCTCCTCACCACGTTCCATCACAAGTTCAGACTGGAACATGGAAGAGATGAATACTAAATCTACTTTTACTATAGACTCTGGCCACTCTCCGTGCGTCTCCCTCTCCCTTCCTTTCTCCTAAACAGAACTAAGGAGGATCCAGCCTGAGATGCTTTCTCAAATTACATTCCTGCTTTGGACTCAGATTTCTCTTATCTAACTTGCATGGCTTCCTCCTCGGAAGGTTATGCTGCCAGCCCTTACAGAAACAGATCTTGTTGGTGGATTTTTTTTTCCAAAGAGAATTCCAGAGAAAACATCTTGCTTGGAGTGTGGGGTTTTTGCACCTATCTAATCCAAAAAACCAAAAACATAGGCGTGAATGGGGTGTCTCCTGTTGCATAATCCTCTCTCTGGGGTCTGCGGCCTCTGTGGCTTCCTCCATTCCAGGGGTCTCCAAACTTGGCAACTTTAAGACTTCTGGACTTCAACTCCCAGAATTCCCCCAGCCAGTTATTTTTCTCAGCTCTGTTGTCATTTCAAACAGTGATTAAACAAATGGTTCTAAGTGGAGGACCACCTGTACAAACTCTGCCTGATTTGTAACCACGATTTGTGAACCTGCTTTGAATCCTAGTTTCAGCTATCATGGTTACAAACTGTCTTGTTGCATTGAAGATGGATGCCATTCAGATATTCACTAGTTTTCTTTGGGATTATTGCCATTAGCGTGTGTGTGTGTGTGTGTGTGTGTGTGTGTGTGTGTTCATACTCTAAATATATTTCACCATAAATGTTCCCAGATTTCAGGACCTTGAGAATGTTTAAAAGACGAAGCACCGCTTTTCACCTTCTACGAGCTGAAAGAACCCTTTTCATCTCACAATCGCCAACTAAATGGTGGCCCCACCCACTCTTGGGGGTTCTCTGATTTGTGGGCCACACAAACGTGTTGTGCTTGCATGTGGCCTGTAGACCACGACTCATGAAGATAACCAGGTGATCTTCAGCCTCCACAGGACTGAATGGAAGTGTCTGGTGGAAACAGAAGATAGAAATTATCCTTCAGCAAGATTTGGAGTGTTAAAAATTTCCACTCCTGGAAAAAATGAAAACCTTGTACTTGTGCTTAACTGTAGCCACAGCTAGTGCCAGTTTTGGTGAAATATGACAGCAGAGATAATTTGCAATAATGAAAAAGGTCATAAAAATTTCCCAAGAGTCATCAGAAGACAGAGAGTGTCTACCTATGTGGGAGAATGAGGTGGAGACCCAGAAGGACAAGTTCTTGAATATTCTCCAGATCATCTTTTATGATTTACTTCAACTAGGGAAGAGGTCTCCAAACTTGGCAACTTTAAGATTTATGGACTTCAACTCCCAGAATTCCTCAGCCAGCCATGAGTTGAAGTCCACAAGCCTTAAAGTTGCCAAGTTTGGAGATCCCTGAACTAGGGGTTGTCCTATGCCAGCATCTCCTGGCTATTTTTCTTTTTTTCTTTCTGGTAACTTTTATTTCTTTTTAGTGGAGGAATCCCGAAAGAAGATTTCTCTGCTGCAAAAAGAAGTTGCTCCAAGCCATTGTTCCACCTCTCTCTCTCTCTCTCTCTCTCTCTCTCTCTCTCTCTCTCTCTCT